GAAAACATGTACTACGAATCTTTGTTAGCTACATGTAGGAAAAGAAAATGGAAATAATTGAAGACTTGAGCATAATCTGACCAAGTAAAATGCATACCTCCCAGCTTTGGATCACGTGCAGCAGCTACTCAGTTATTATCATGAATATGTGGATTTTTAAGTGGGCCAGGTCTCTATTCTTGTGGCAGCTTCATTTATATCTGTCTCCAGAAGATGCATTTATCTATTTGCTAGTCTTAGATTTGCCTGCATGTTCTTGAGTGTGTTAGTAGATCCATTGATGTTATTGCACTAGTCACATACGTCATTTAAGCAGAACAGAATTGCAACCCAAAACATTCTTAGATTCTGAATTACACTTTTGGGGAAGGTAGTAATATGAATGAGTATATACGAAGGGAATATGGAGTATATTTGTAACAGTATTTTTGAGCTACTTGTGAGTTGATTCAATTTCTGTTTAAAGAGTCTGTTATTTTATTTAATACTAGCTTGCTTGTAATATATTTTTTTTTTTAGAAATTTTCGAGTAGGGCTTCTTCCTTAAAAGTGTATGTAGTTGTAGATGAATGTTTGCTTTAACATTTTCTGCCAGAACAGGAAAAATGAACGTAAAAGTGAATTTTTAGCTTTCATTAAATAATTGTTATGCATGATAATTAAAATCCAAGCAGCTATATTAATTTCCTTCTTTTGGTTGTATTAGCACCATTGTAATTTTTAAACTTCTTGTCACTGGTACTTTCTTCTTTTTAAAGCTTCTTCATTAAATCATAGACTGACCTTTTTGCACAAAACAAGGGATCTGATTAAAATTGCTCAATCGGAAATTTCCCTCTGGAAAGGAACTTGTGGCTAATGAAAGTCTGGCAGAGCCAAATCCTTTATCTCTTGACCCTTGTCTTGGCTCAGAGGGTATATATATATGTTGGTGTCAGTGAGCTCTGGTTCATTTTATGCTGATCTTTCAATATGTATTTTGTCCCTGAGGAATGATACAGCAGTATTATGAATTAGGACAGTTCTAACTTGTTCAGGGGTTGTGTAAATCGGGCCAAACATTCAGGTTGCCTGAGCCAATCCTGCAACTCTTCTGTACAAGCCAGGATTTTGTCTTTGGGCAGTTTGTTCTTCTCATAATGTTTAGAGATATTGCTTTGGCAGTAATAGTGTGTGATTTAACATTTTATATTATCTACTGTTATTCATTACTAGATTTTTTTTTTTCCTTGCAGAAACAGTGGGGGTATGGGATTTCCTGTTACTAGTGGTAGCATTACAGAGGGTTGATAAATTAAAATGCTGGATTCATTTTTTCTGTTTGTATCCTTTCTTTTTCTATTTCCTTTAAAAACTGTGCGCTTGTGTCCTTCTTACCATTTAAATTTTCCTCTGAAAGACTTGTGTATTTTATATAGAGGACATGAGTAAAAGAGCAATAATGAAAAGAATGCAATCAAAACCTTCTAATTCCTTAATGGAAATACATGGTTCCTGTCAATAAGAAATATTTCCTGAAAAAGGACAGAGATTTCTGGAATGGCAGGTGGCACTCCAGTTACATGTTTTGAAGCAGCGTGCACCCTTGTTATGTCGGATCTGAAATCCCAGTTGTGACTACAAATCAATGACATGAGAAAATCGGAAACACGGTGGCAATGATCTAGAAGAGACAGTGACTGTTAGCACATTTCAACTACTGAAATTAAAATAGCCCTTCACGGATTTCATTAATATGCAGCAGATTCTGTTGGATAGACTAATTAACCGTACAGTTGACTTTGTGTCCTAGTCGGAGAGTCTTCTAACTGTGAAAAATTCACTAGTCTGATATTCTGTCTCCAGAATTAAATTTGCATTCCAAACCTATGGCCACCAATCACTTATTGCAGTCACTTACATCTTGCCCACCTTGGAAAGCTGTGATCATTCAAATAGAGGATTTCAGAATTTTTTCGTTTGTAATTATTTTATATGCCTAGCATGAAATCTGAGGCACTGCATGCACATAAGCACTATACACAAATTTTATTACGAAGTCTAAGTTGTGCTATTAGCAACAGTTAAAACATCACAGAGGCTTGATATTTAAATGTTAATAGAAGGTAAGGTACCTTTGGAACGTAAAGAAATGTGTCAAAAAATTGGAAAATCTTGTATTTGTAACTGTTCCCTTCTTATTTCCTATTTGCTTAAAATCATTTGGGCTCTCGCCATATAGAGTTCATTTGTAGATTAAGCATTTCAGGGTAAGGAAACGTGTTTTATTGGTTGAAGGGTACCTGGCACGCTTTGGGGAGCCTGCAGTATAATCTACTGCTATAGTGAGAGCCTGATGGAGTGAATAGGTTTTGCAGTATGTGATGAAAGTCATGAAATTTGGCTCTCTTTGGCCAAGTTGTAAGAGTCATGACTGAAAACTTTGTGTGTAAGCCCTAGCAACATTGGATCTGATTGTAACTGGCAGAATATAACATGAAGGTAAGGGTATTCTTTAAGGCTCAGAAGTTTCAAACCTTGAATTTCATTGAAATGAATGGGAATCTAGTCTAGTGCTGATGGACGAATACAGGGCCATTGTATTGTGGATGAGACAGTGACAGTGATTTGTAAAAGTAATTTTGTGCAAAATATATTGCTGTAATTCAATCTGGAGGTGGAAAAACATGGAGAATTTTTGTTATATCCATGCTTGAGGGCAGTAGTTTCTCCAGATCTTTAGCATTGTATGATTAGAAAAATAATATCTACTAGTGCTCTACAAACTTCTAAAAAGGTATGATTTATAATAATATTAGAAACTTCAATATGCTTGCTCAATTAACGGGTCAAAAATAATTAGTCTGATCTGTTTTTTTCTTCCAGGCGGATGCCTCTGCCTTACTTTAAATGAGATTCAGGCAACCAGGTCTTACTCAAGCCTAATTTTTACGAAAATGTTTCTTAAGATGGACAACTGCTCCAACTGGGCTAGTAAGATAGATTCTGGAGTACAGACTGGTTATATGTAGTGATGGCACTATGGTGTAGACTCACTGTCTTACAGATTTTATAGATAACATGGAAGAAGAGAGCTGACCGAGTAGATTTCTCACACTGTGTATAAGAACCGAATGCTTACCCAGTTGTATCTTTAGGTTCATTCAAGGAGATGAAAAGAAATATAATTGAGAAGTGTTATCGTTCCTGCTGGTCTGATGATGAGCAGTGTCAAAGACACTGAAACAACGTACATGGTTGATTGCTGCCATAGTGAGAGCAGAAGTGAGGGCTTATATTGATTACTATATTTAAATGCAATTCCCGTATTTCTTTTGGATAGTTTTACTGATACGAGAGAGAGACGAGGGGGTTGATTGTTGAGATTGTTAGTGTAAAAGGTAGCTTTTGAAAATAGTTTATCAATGGCCTTTTTTTTTTTTTTTTGGCGATACCAGCACCTTAGCTTTTTGTGACAGGAAGTCCTCACAAATCATAAACCCTGTGTGCTTCATAATTACCAGACAGAGAGGAAATGGACTTCAAGTGTAAAATATGACTGTAGCTCCCTGAATGCTGCAAGACTTTGCTACTTTATATATTTCATATTGGCAACTTAATAGCTAAGAGATGTTCATCTTTGGTCACTGTTGTTCTGTCCTTAAAATTCAGTACATTCCTAGCAGGTAATGCTCTTCATATGTCATTGAGTTCCTATGCATCTCATAGCAATGCTAGTATTTTATACTTACATACTAGTAGTCACTGAACATGTGCATAACCTTTGAGCAGTGCTCTTGTGTTGTCACTACCTGTGAATATAAAAGGACAAAAGCAGAAAGGAAGATGTCTTCTAATAACCAGAGGCACTTATTAGAAGAAAAAGAATAACAAAGCTCGGAAATGTGGCTGCCGCTGAAGTACAAAACTTTCTGGCCTATACACCTTAAGAAAAAATTAGTCCTTGCTGCACACTATTTGCTTTTAAGTTTGCAAAACCTGGTATTTATGTACGTTTTGTATAAATATCTGCCTTATACAGAAAGTACCTGAAACCTTGCATTTGTCTTTATAGGGGGCTTGTTCAGACACTTCCCAGTTCTTCAATAATGGATTAGTATTCTGTTTTTTGTAGAATCTAAAGAGACTGCATATTTTTTTGGTGTTCATCTGCCCTTTTGTAATTTTAATATACCCATATTTTTTTGTAAACCTTTCCACTGTGAAAGTTCTGTATGCCATTGCATTCATAATCTTGTCTTTGCAGAATGTAAATCATGTCAGAAGAGAGACTTTGGTGATTGAAATGTTTCAGTTCTCGTAATTCTGATGTGGAACTGATCCGCAGTTTAAGCTTTTTAGTGAATAGGAAGTTTTTATATGAATGGTAGCTGGATCAAAATTTTTCCTGAACGCTGCTAAATTGAGTTCAATATATTAATTTGTACCTGTTGCTTTGGCTAATGTAGCATTTTAAAAATTAATTATCAAGCAAATAAGTTTAAATTTGTTTTAAAATTAAAGGCCTTTGTTCCCTAGAATAGCCAATGATGCAAACCAGCTGTACAACTGCTTGATTAAGACAGGTTTACAGCTGCTTTACATAACCAGAGCGATGTAAACCAGCTGGACTGTGTTAGGGAATTTGGCCTAAGAACTGTTAAAAATTCAACTGGACAATTCTGAAATTCAAGAATGATCTCTGTGGTTTAGGAAGGAACCGTATTTAACTAATTCATTTATTTGCTTGATTTCATCCAGCTAAATTATCTTGAAACTTTTACTTAAATGTAATCTATGCTAGAAGACTCTTGCCATAGTTAGTATTTTGTCTCAACTTGCTTACATTCTTGGTAATTGGATCCTATGATTTTCATGTTGTGTGAGTTAAATACTAAGTCTGAGGAATAAAAAAAAGAAAATTTTTTTTTCTTTTAATTACCCCTGAGCAAATCTCAAAGATTAAATGCAAACATGTCAGGTAGGTCTAGTCTAACACAAATTTATCTATGCAAAGATAACTCTTAGTTAAGAAATTGCCACCACCGTAGCACTGAGACCTGAAATCATTCTTTCTGACTGTGAGAATTTAAACTGATTTTGGAAGCATAGTTGGTAAACTCACTTCATATAAGCAGTGGAGGGAGACAGTTGCATTTGAGAAGGCATTTTATATCTTAAGGGGACTGACTCATACTCTGTGAGTGTTTTTCTCTCTTCCTTTGGCAACATAAGTGTAAGTGAACTAAATCTAGTCCTAAGTTCTGCTTTTCCCTGTTTTCTTGGCATAAAATTTTTAAGTCTACTGGTAGGTTGTTTGAACAGTTCAAGAAAACCTAAATTACTACATTTATTTTTCCTAAGAAAGATGTTCCTTGTTTTCTGTAATATCTGATTGAGCAGTCATTCAAGAGCAGATTTTTTTTAATCTATGTAGAAAACTAGTATCATATTTGATTTCTGGATTGTAATGATATGATTTTCAGAGTCACTGAGCACTGAAAGGTAGGTTATCTTTGTTTAATGAAGTCTGTAATTCTTGCCTTTCTTTGAATTTTTGTTTCATTTTCTGTGTGTTTTCTGGCATTGTCCACATTCTGAACTGTGGAATATATTTGGAATATACAGTTTTACAAATGTCTTAACTCATAAAATGTGCCCATATCAGTACATTGCAAGGTTAAATACGTGCATTTTGAAATGCTCTGTCTAATTAAAATCATTACTGTTGATTAAAACAGTTGTGTCTCCCACAGGAAAAGCAAAATGGCAAGCTGGTGGAAAAACAAAGAGGGTGACTCAAGGAACACATAAGACTGCAAAACCGGTATCTGTTAATTTTTTTTATTATGACTTTAAAATTTATGACGTAAAACTGTTTTGTGATATCACCAATACATTATTGGCTGAATAATACATAAATAAAACTGTGCATACATTGTATTTTGAAAGCATACAAATTTCAAAGTCAAGTATTCAGAAGTTAACGTCAACTCTGGCATTTTTTAACTTCCTCAACCTTTACTTTTGGCACTTCCTAACCTCTGGATGCATGACTTTTTGGCATTAAAGTTATTTTAAAAGTGCTGTTCAATAAAATGATATAGGGTATTCTTCCTATAAGCATGGTGCTTATACAGAGGCTACCTTTCTGCCCAATTTCTAATTTAAGGAAATGCTTTATTTCTTGACCTTGTGTGTTAATGACTGAAGTCAGTATAAACTATTTTGGAAAAAATTAGTCCAGGTGAGTAAAATTTCAGAGAGTTATGACTGGAAAGCAAGTCCCAATGAGAAGTGTCAAGAAGAAACTGCTTTTATTTTTATTCATGTTTTTTCTATGTGACTGACAATCTTTATTATATTAATAAAGTAATACCTCAGTCTGTCCTCATGTTTAATATTTTTAACAGTTGCTTTTCTTTGATTAATAGATTTGGCCATTAGTATGGCTTTAGCCATGTAGTATTTTGACATAGTCTGTCAGATTTTGATAATATGGCATATGGAAGATGTTATTTTTGAGGGGAGGGAAGTTCTGTTTCCATAGAGATGTATTTGCATCTTTAAAACGTAGGCACGTTATTTTCCCAATTCAATTTAGCAACTATTAACCTTGTGTTCTCTCTTCGTGTGCTAGTATGTTACAAACACTGTGTATCCTGTCTTTCATGTTCTGTGAAGGTGGAATTTTACTGATGCAGTTGGGGCTCCTTGTGAGGATTTACCCGCAGAACCTTTTAGGTGTAAGAGTAATGTGCTACATAGTTTGGGTTCTGTCTATTTTACTCACTCTGGATTATGTAAATACTGAGTTTTTAGGAGAATACTCGATTGTTACTCAGTGGCTCTGCATGGGATTGCTATACTAAAACTATATTGTAGAAACAGTGAGTTTCTAGTGGGTACAATTAAGGTTTGAAATGGACTGATGAGTGTCTGTGCATCTTGGCATTTCAATTTGGCATTCAGCACCTTTATTTCTGCTGCGTTTCAGACATTGGATATGGCTGTAAATTGGTGGCTTTTTTGTTGAGCCTTCAGTTTTAATTTTCCTTTACACATAAAGGGGCCACTAATCTCAAGAAAATAAACTTACAAGAACTCTTTCATATGATCTTATCAGCCTCATCTTCCTCTCAGTAGGGTCCTGGCAAATCTACATTCAATAAATTTTGGCATCCTGAGAATAAATATACACTTCATACTTTCCAGAACTCCACGGCAAGTTATGAAACTCTTTTGGAAAAAAAAACGAACAAAGATTCAGTTTTAATGCCACTTTCATGGGCGGTTGGACTTGATGATCTTTGAGGTCTCTTCCAACCATAATGATTCTATGATTCTATGATTCATCATCTACACTGAGTTGCTTGAGATGTAAGAAGGAATGTTCCTATGTTACTTAACTTCAGAGGTACAAAAGCTTTGCATTTTCTGCAACTGAAGGTTTGAACTGTCACTGCAAGTGAGATAGTAGGAACTAGCCCCTCTGAATCTTTGCTGTTCTTGGGTGGGTTTTGTTCTTTTTTTCTAGTGAGAACAAGCTTCACTGTAGGCCTGCTAGATCATGTCTATATGAGCCATCATCACGCTTTGAGTAAACATGCATATTATTTGAGGGTAGGGGGAAGGGCAAGGTAGGCTATTTTTTGGTGTGTTTGTAACTACTATGGGGTTTTTTTGGGGTAATGTGCAATGATCTGCAAACTTGTTGAACATAGGTTAAATTTTGGATAAGTGTATTGTCAAAGGCTAAGGACTCTGAGATCCCTTAGAAGGTTCAAAAGTAAGTACCTATATCCAGTTAGGAATGATCTGTAGAAATTTGCAGGATTGGAGCTTTGGAACTCTGCTCAGAAAAGCTTGATTCTGTGTCCTTGCATCTTGCCAGTGCAAAGAGGCTTGTGCCTCAACTACAAAGCAAAGTGAAAAATCTGCTAAGAGTTAGTTGGAAGCACGAGGCACAAGGATGTAGGTGGAGTGTATGTGGCTTGGGTATAGCTCCTTGGTGAAGATCTGGGATCATTGCCTTATCATTCTTCAGACTACAGTGTTAGAAATATTTTGTCCTGTGCTCATGTGTTCCCTCAGAATACCGGAGAGATCGAGAGATGATCATCTCTGGAAAATTAGTTTCACTATTGCATCACTCTCAACCTAAGCATGACACTAAAAAATGTGATCTGGTCAAAAGTGCATACTTCTAATAAATACTGTTTAATTAAAACTTAATTCCTGGGAGGATGAATAATAATAAAGCTATAGCTGTACATTGGCACAGAAACTACAGTCTCGAAAAGTGTGTACTTACTGCAGCATTTCTTGCTTTTCACAGTAAAAGGTGAATTTGATTCATTAGAAAATTTACTTAGGATGCTAACAGGTAAAGATTCTGCTGAAGAATATACAGATTAACTCAGAAATCCTGCTTGCCGTAAATGATTGTACGGAATATAGCAGTCTGTATAAAATATTAGTAGTATCTTTATATTGAAATTAGTCTTTGCTGCAACTCTTAAATTTAAGTGAATACTGGCTTTCATGTCAGTAAAGTTGATGCCAGTCAAACTTGATTAAGTTTGAAAGCAGTTTGCTGACTTTGATCTTTTTTTGGGGAATTTCTGGAGACTGAAGTGCCAAACATGGGACAGGATTTGGGTTCTTCTCTGAAAATTGACTTCTGTTTCCTTGACTGGCAGGTACCAGGCTGTGACAATTTCAAATGTACAATGTTAGAACTTACTTGTATCGGGAACTTAAAATACTATTTCTGTTAACTGACGACCAACTTAATACTTACCTGCTTGTGTGATTGTGTTTCCAAGAAATTTGGTAGTTCAGAGCTTTCCATCCTTTCAAAGATGTTCTACTGGAATATGAGTAACTGTAAATGTTGCTTAGGTTTTACTTAGACACTGGAAATCTGCTTACAGGGGTAATAATGGAACTGCCACAACTTACAGTAGTTGACACAGTTCAACATGCTGTTTTCCCAATTAAAATATAGCTGACATATAAGATAGATGATAAATGGATGACAGATCCAGTAGATGGATAACATTTATTGCTAAATAAGAAAACATATTCCATGACACTGGCTTAAAGATACATTTGAAAATGTATCTTTCAAATAGTGGGAATTATGCATGGTTCCCATAATAAAACAAGTGATCCTTTATATCAACAATATTAGCAGAATGAGTAGAAACCTAATCACTTTACTAAGGTCACATTTTATAAATGCAGACAGCAACAGGTGGCACTGTTATTTTAATATAGCTATTTATGATTCTGTAGTTAAGGTTGTGTCATTATAAACTGTATTTTAAAGGGGCTGTAAATTAGCCAGTATAAGCTTTGCTTTAAAGGTTTATATCCAAGGTCTCGGCTAAGGAGCATCCTTCTCTAAGCAGTTCTTTAAGAGGTGGCTCTTATGTCATAGGAGAAAAAATATGAAATAGTCTGACATATGAAGCCCTTCTGAAATTCCTGTTCATTGGTTGTTTATGACATGCATCTTTTCTGAACATGTCTCTCGTGCATACATTAGCTGGGGTTCACCTGGAGTACACTTGGAGCATTTTGAGATATATATAAGGGCAGTAGAGATGTTAGTATGATTGTAGTAAATCACGTTCCTATTCATCCCCTTCTTACAGAAGAATTAGAATCTGAACACAAACATTGGTGAGAGCATAACCATTTTGACAGGACTACGTCTGCCTCCCTAATTACAAAGATGGAAAAAATTTGGTTATTGACTACTTTCTCATTCCGTATTTTGAGCATGAGAAATATGAATTCATTTACAAAAAATTCCCTGCATGTTTAGGAAACATGTATCTTAGGCGCAATTTGTTGGAATTCAGAGGAATCCACAAAAAACAGATATCCTAAGGAGAATGAGGAAAATATTCTCTAGACCTTGTACAATCTTTGAGTCTCTTTTCTATATATTTCGTCATTAAAATATTATTATAGCTCTTCCTTAAAAGTACTTTGTTGATAAGTCCATCCAAAACTATGCTACAGTCCTGATTACCTTATGTTGCCTGTGGTCTAAAATGACTTTTCTGTAAGAATTCTCTGTCTCTAAGTGTAAACTTACCAGCCATTAAACTCATCTTTTGGCACAAAGAAATTGTTTCCTAGCTTTTTGCAGAGGGGACGAAAGGCTTGAATCCTGGTCAATTGTTTTGCCATTTATAGTATTTCTAGTTAATGATTAGATATTCTAAACTCTGTGTACTGGCTTGTGCAGTGTTGGTTTTTGACTGTTTTTATTCAGTCACCAAAAGTAGAGTTTTTAGAATGGAATTTCACAGTAATCCCTACAAGTGTACTCCAGTAAGAATTGATTTTTCTGGAGGTCTGTGGCACAGTGGACCAGTGCATCAAAACTGCATTAAAAGTGCTGTTAAAGTGAATGCATTAATGAAACAAACACCCGCCCCCCCCAAAAAAAAAAAAGAATAAAAAAGAAAAAAACAAAAGACAACCCCAAGCCAAAAATCGGACTGTTGTAGCATGTAGCTAATACCTCCATCACAAAATGGCGCATGGTTGGGTATCACTTTGGGTTTACTGGATGTGCTTATCCACCTGACTACTATGGAATGCAAAGCTTATAGAAGTCTGGCATGGTAGCAGGATTTTTCTGTTTAGTTTTTGTTGTGGGAGAGAATTTCAAGTTTAATAAGGACAGTGTCATGGGGCCAAGCGCTGATTTGGTATTTTCAGCCAAATAGGCATGCTTCAGAATCCTCTGGAGTATCTTGTGCAGACAAGTGACAGTCTCTCTCTGTGACGGAGGCATATCCCCATATGAGTGACTACGCTGAACACACAACGTCAACATAGACGTGACACTGAGGTGGCCTAACAGTACTTCCAAGTAGGTACACAGGGATTCCTGTCTGTGTGCGCATTTGTGAAGACAGTTGGATGTTCTCCCTTCCCTCCCATTGCATTTAGCGTATTGGCAGTCCTCTGCGTTTGTGCAGCAAAGCCATACTAGATCAGTTAGTCTGCACATTAACACTGAAAATCAAAACAGATTTGTTGTAGTCAAAGCTGTTAAATTACGACTTGAAACAGCATGAGGACACTTTCAAACTTGGTGTAAGTAGGAGCAACTTGATTCATTGGCACAGCACTTAGATTGGGTTGAATTGAGCTTGCAATGTTAACAATATGGTGAGTGGAAATCTTAGTACAAGTAGTTTTCTAAAGTGTGAAATCTTCCTTTCCTAACTAATTCAGTGCTTGCTGGCATCTCCTCTGCAGTGTAGTTACAACATATCGATCAAAGGGCTGGCCACATCAGCATTTCACTGACATTAACGCTCATATATTAGAATGAGGGTTTAAAAACGATAAAGTCATATGTAATGTCTTGGTAACAGAATTTAACTGTGATGGAATATTGCTAGTATGATTATTAGTAAAATGTTATTTTCATCTCTGGATGCACATACTTGTCAGAATAAATACTACAGGATATGTAATTAGAAAAATGTAACTTCTCAGTGTGCCAAGAGGCAGAATATCTTGTGGTTGTGCAATGTGGATGTTGGGTTATAAATATCAAAGAAACAGAATCTAGTTCTACATAGCTGCTGCCTATATTTAGGATAAGGAAGTGTGTTTTAAAAAACTCAAGTCAGTGGGATGGTGTAGTCTTCAGTGAAAAATGTTTACAACTTTGTTTGTTTACAACTGTTTGAATATGTTGAAAAAATGTGTGTTGCACAGAAACCCAGCCCCTTACTGTATGTCTGTTTGTTGTTTTCTTTTTCCATTTTATCTTGTTTTTTCAGAGCACTACCATAGACTGTAAATTAACATCAGCAGCAGCTGGTGATAAAAACTTTGACAAAAGCCCAACAAAAACAAGACAGCCTCGGAAAGTTGATCTGCGAGCTCGATACTGGGCATTTCTTTTTGACAATCTCAGACGAGCAGTTGATGAAATCTATGTTACATGTGAATCGGATCAGAGTGTAGTAGAATGCAAGGTAAGCCTTCAGCTGTTCTTTGCCTGTTGTCACATGACTCTTATCGTGCTTTTTTTTATACTTTACAAAAAAGAACAAGTGAGGAGGAAGAGCTTTAGAAACAGTTAATTTTTGATTTGTATTTAGTAAAGGCTTGTAAATAGGAAAACTGATGGCATATTTATTCAGATTTAAGAAGATGCATTCATCTTAGGCATTTTTATGCCTAAACTTGTAGTGATGTACATAATGTTATTAGGTCTGAGTTTTTTGATGAAATCAGTTTTTGCTTATTGAGTTCTGGTTTTGTTAATTTTCTGACTGAACGCTGGTTTGTTTATTTTTTCCCTGTAATGTTCTTTACTCTAGGTGGCACTGTTGTGATTCAGCCTTTTTCACGTTCGTTAGCTTCCTGTTAAGTGGCTTAATGATACATTGCTCCCTTTTCGCAGTGATAACACTTTTTTGATTCTGTCTGTGGTGTTAAGAAAATGATTAGTGGTCAAGCATAAACAGCGTCTGGTTGGGAATGTTACTGTAAGGTATGCTTCCTAATTTTGAATAACCAGTGTTTGTAATAGCTTGAGCATCTATTTTAAGTTTTATGATGATTTTCTAGTAGGTCCATAGAAAGACCATTGTCATGTTATAAAAATCACTCATTCTTCAGAAGTTGAATTTAGTGCAAGCATTAAGAGAAGCCAGAAGAGTATGTTATAAAAGAAATGTTAAAGATATGACTTATGTTTTCATACTAAACATGGCTGAAAACTCAACACGTTCTGGAAATGATTATCTGATCACTGTAAAAAATTACATATATCAATTTAAGTAAACTTTTTCCTTATCATATGCATCTAGTTCTCTGCTGTAATCAGCAAGGCCAAATTGACTTTGAGATTAGCGTACAAATACATTTCATTGAAAGCAGGTTTGAAAACTGAACAGTAGCTAGAGGCTTCCAAATCGCGGGTTGGTCTAACACAATTTAACTTTTTGTTGCTGAACTGTCTTCCTGCTCAGGAAGCTTCTCTGGAGAATTTTTTGGTCTAAGAAAATCAGTCAGCCTTGCATTGTAATTAGATTACCATTTTAAACTTTTGTAACTGAAAGAACAGAAGTGTGTTTGTATCATTATCACATATTTTTGGAGTTAGATATCATTCAGCATTTTAATCATGCTACTTGATCTGTTCTTAGATGGAGATGTTACATAGCCTAAGTGAAAAGTCTTCATTTTAGTGGATGTATGTATCTGTGTACATCAGGTTACTTGTTTGCAAAACAGAGGTGGAAAAAAAGAAAAATGAGTAAACAGGGGAGGCCAGTGTCATGTGTTATAAAATTTATGCAACATTCCTGTTGCTTTTACCTTTTGAAAGATCTTTCTTCTCAGCACAAAAAAGTGCCTTACCCGAGTAGCTGGAATACACATTTGTGCTATGGTCTCTTGTTTGTGAGATTTTCTTTTAAAGGTTACTGTTAAATGATGATTATTACTATTTTGATAAATTACTAACATTTTTGTTAATTAAGCTATGAAGTATAAAACTGTTGAGTCTTGCAAATTATTTTTACTAATAATGTTTCACTTCTATCAATTCTACTGATTGTCAATATTTATTTGGGGGGAGTTATTGTTGGCAGATACAGTCCAGTTTCTACCAGAGGTGAAGTTGTCGATGTGTTCTAGCTAATCACTTGCAGCAGAATATTCTAACTGCTCTCTTTTGAAGTGAGTCCTTTACATAACTCTTCATAGGCATGCAACAGTTTTGGTACTACATGCATAGTCTTCAACTAGGGAGTGATCAAACTCATCATTAGCGTGGAGGTATGTTTTAATTTTGCATGGAATATTAGTGATAACAAGCAACAGATCCTTGTGGAAACTGTGAGCCTTCCTCACCTGTGATCGTGAAAAGGCAGTGCTTTCTGTCCTCCAACTGAAATACCTTGTCTAAGTGCAGCTTTCGTATTATGGAATATGAAAGTGCTGCTGTGGTACTTGCTGTAGTAAAGTGCTTACTGTAGTACCTCAACCTTTTAGGAGTTCATAAATTAAAATCGTGATCTACTCAGAGTTCAGTTGGCAAACAGTATTTATTAAGGAACACTCGTGTGACGTTGTTTCAAGAATTCCTGTAGCTTAGTAGAAGGCCTGTGTCCTGTCTGAAAATAGCTTAACTCAGTCTTTAGTTTGATTGTTACAGTTTGTCCGTGTGTGACTCAGTTCAGGTAAATAATCATCATTTGGTTATCTAAAACAGTTACTTGTTTTATTGCCTTGGCTTTGGTAGTCCGGTATACGTTGCTACCACGTTACTCCCAAGCACAGAGTTTCGTGCTTTGTATTAACTGATCTGGTCGTGCGTGATCAGGTCTTGAAAGATCGCTGGTTGTGCCTTTTCTTGCCACTGGAAAACATTAAAGCACTGAACAGAATTGAGATTCCCTGTTTTGTGTCAGCATGAGTGTCCACTGTTGCAGGAAAGATGGCGGTAGCAAGGTTCTGCATGTTACTCCAGGGATGGCTCCAATTGCTCGAATGTGCGGGATTGGGAGATTGCAAAGTGTTTTTATGCCTCTGAATGGGGCGTCTGTGAATAATGGCATCATATAAGGCATGATATGAATTCTGTATGGTCTAAGGAGGTATCTCCCTAACTCTGTCATTGGTAGAATACTGGTAATATAAATGTGGCGTGGCAAAATATGTTAAGCTTCATTGTCAGGATGATAATGTCTAGAATGTGTATAATCCTTTTCTTAGGCTTCTGGACTTAGGAGGCCATGTGTCTTGTCTGTCCTTGTATAGCCATGATTTTCTGTCATCCCTGCCATAAGTTTTAAAATCGGTGGACCAATTTAAATTTAGTGGTCATAGATTTCATGAGAGTAGATGACTAGCTTGGAAGAAGACATCCTGTTAAGGTTCACATTGCAGAAAAAAACTGCCACCCAATCTTTATTAGACACCAGGGAATTGAGAGAGAAAACAAGAGAACATGAATGCATCAACTGAGGGAAGAGGAATTGTGTGTGTTGTTGTTTTTTGTTTTGTTGGGGTTTTTTTGTTAATAACAATTAATTGAAGTGCATGTCATTGTCACTTCTGGCACCAGAGAAACCAGTAAGGAGATCATGGGATAACAGCCTCCACTAGATCCATGCTTTGCAGAACTACTTAGGCTTTTTTTGCTTGGTGGTTTGTAGTGGGTTTTTTTTGTTGTTGTTTGTTTGTGGATGGGGTGTTTTTATTTGTTTCTCTTTGGGCAAGAAAAGTTCAGCTAATTCTTATGCTTTTTCCACTTTTATGTATGACAGTACTGATCTTCTGAATATTTTTAGATGAAAATTCCATTTATAATAAGCTTTTACTAAAGCTCATGCTAAAAATGACAATGAATTAGCTTCACTTTTATGTTCTTTTTTGCAAACTTGTTATACTACATAGAAAAGTAGGTAGTGATTAAAATGTTACAAGAGATACCAACAGACACATCAGCTCAGTTGAAAATGGATTAATATATTTCTGCTATACCTAAAGAATTGACAGGATTTTGACAAATGAGGATTCCATATTGCCACATTTACTTTTCAAACTCATTTGACAGAATATCTTGTTAGCTCTTTTCGTGAAGTACCATTTTTATTTTTACTATGGGATGTATGTGGGAAACAATATTAAATAAGGAACCAAAATGGTTAAACTGTTAACCTTTCCTTCTTTGGTTTTTTTAGTGGGATTTTGATAAATCCTCTTCATCAAAATAAATCCATGTTATCAAAAACTTCCTTAATTTCAGCTTTTTAAGTGATGTCTTGTCAAACTTATGTCTTGGTCAAATGGGTATATGCTCTTTTATTTGAATATTTTAGTTGTATAAAGATTGTCTTAAAAGAAGACCCGTGTAAAAATGAAATGTGACAACTTCTGGTATTTAAAGCCTTCAGATTAACCTAGTATAAAACTGGTTGGGTTTTTTTTAATTATTTTTATTTTTTACCCTTTGCTCTCTTGTATTCTTACAAGTTGGTATAGTTTTATTGATTGCGTTGTCACTGAAGATAATGTTTGCTCCCAAATCGGAAAGGGCTCTAGTGGCTGGTTGTGGTTGAAACTGCAGACGAACGGGTTGTGGTGAGGATACAAACAGTGGAGATGTGTGTAAGAGGATCGGTGGTTGTGTATATTTTCTCTCAGGTTTGGGCACTGCTGAAGTTGGTATTTTGCTATTGATTTGGAATTGAGCACTCTGAAATCATGTATATAGATGGCTTTGCTTTGTATATAAAGATATGATTAACATGGTTGAATTATTTCTAAAATAAATAGAGTTCTCAAGTTTAAGCATCATCTTACTGTACATAAATCAGTTCGTGCAATAGTGATAGAGACTAGATGTATTCTAATAAATTTGGCTATAACATTCAACATTTCAAAATGTAAATTGTATGGATATTCTATACATTAGCTAGGTTTCTGTGTATCTAATATTTATAAGAATATTTTATTACCTAGTATTTTCTGAGTTTGGGTGGCAAGCTTAGGCAGAAAAGAAATAGTAATGCCTTTAAATCTCTTTCTGTATGTTAAAAGGAATGAAGCCCAACGTTATTTGTAGATGGGGGAAGGCAGCTTCTGTAGTCAATTTTGGCCAATGGAAGTTTGGTTAATGCAACAGAGAAATGTGTTTTCTGCTGCTATTCTTTTATGGTCTTCAGGTGTCAGCAACTGAGTTTATTTATGTTTATACATATATGTATGTGTATATATATAAAAAAGAAACAACACACCACACACTTGTATGAAGCTCTTATTGATGAATTTGAGCAACTGGATCCAGCAGCTAAGGGTACAGTAAATCTAGAAGAGTCTCAAAGTACTTTAAATTTAACTTCTGAGATGTTTTCCTCCTAGGATGAATTAATGGCTTCAGATGTTTTTTTCCTTTCAAAAAAGCTGAATTCTATTATGTAAAAATTTAGTTCTATATTTTTTTTAACTTTCTGTTTAG